AAAGCATCAATTTGAAACGGGATGAGATACGGTCACAACCTGTTAGATGGTTGTGAGATTTACAACCCATTTTGTAGCCATCAGATACGTTCTCTCTCTTGTCTCTTTTTTATTTATTTATAAATCAATGGTTAAGATTAAACCATGCGAAATTTCGGAATGTAAAACTTAACACATGGGATCCTTTCCATTTTGCATATAACTACTCTTCATTGACAAAAAAAATATCAGAATCCCCTCATTCCCTTCGTCTCCCTCGTATTCCCCTTTCACCTATCTCTAACCAAAAACTCTATCCGTTAAAGAGCTCCATCACCGACCTCCATCCGTCGACCTCAATCACCGCGCCGACCTCCATCACGGTTGTCGCCGCCGCCTTCCTCCCGCCTTCCTGCTCACGCTGCCGCTGTCCCCCCCATTGCTGTCCCCGCCGCCTTCCTCCCGCTGTCTTCCTCACGCTGCACATGTCGCCCACGCTGTCCTTATCGCCCCTGTCGCGCCCGTCGCCATCTTTACACCACCACCACCGCCTCCGCCTCCGCCTCCCACCATCTCCCGTCTTCACGACGCCGCCACGAGGTCACCGCCTCTCCCCTGCCATTTTGTTTCCTCATCTCCTAATATTTTTCCAGATCTGTGATTTTTCAGATTCCAGATCTGGTATTTTGTGTTAGTCTCTAGTGGTACGCTAACAGTGATACTTGTATGCTACCACTACTCACTGGGAGCGCTACCAGTGGTAGTGGTACGCTATCAGTGACCAGTGGTACTGGTTTGCTACCACTACTGCTGGTAGCGTACCACTATCACTGATAGCGTACCACTAGACAAAAATCACTACCACTAGCGCACTCACGAAGTGACATTTTTTTGCAGGTGCCCGAAGTAAGTCTTATTGCAGGATTTCACTAAAAAAAGTCTATCGGTCAGAGAATTTTTGGCGGTCGGAGTGAAGAGGCTGCTGGAAAAAGTAGAGAGATATATGTGTCTTAATTGTAGGGTTTTTTTTAAAAAAATATGTATTTAATATGAATTTTTAATTCCTAATATGTAATTAATAAAAAATTAATTAATAAATTTGTTTTTTTGTCATCCATCAAGAGAAGGGATTGTATCCCATCACATTTGAAACACTAAGATCTAGTTTTGTGAACTAAAGGTCAAATTGCTATTTGTAACACTCCATTCAATATTCACCTAAGGGGCGGATACATAGAGGTTTAGGGGGTGTCCCAGGACACCCCTAAAATTTGGAAAAACGATTATCCAACTTTCGATAGTAGTTTGTGTATGGGTAAAAAAAAATAGTGATAGTGGAACACTCTTAAAATATGAAAAATGATTATTCAACTTCCTATAGTATTCTGCATATGGGTACAAATAATATTTAAGTGAAAGGGTCTATGTGATTTGAACTTGGGAACACTGCTACTATTAGTAAATATAGTTTCAATTAGACTACAACTCATTTGTAGTTATGTTTTAGATCAAAATATAATAGTAAAGGCTATTATCATCCCCAATTATTTTCAAAACCTAACGATTAAACCCAATTACGGGTACCCTTGTCTAATAGGATATGTCACGAGAGATTTGTTGAGCAGTGTATACACCGAATATATTTTACTATTCTTTCATAATACGAAACATGTTTGAACTTTTATTCTAACTTTTACTAGTTGAATATTTTCATATTTAATAATTATTTGATTTAATTTTAACTTTTTTTTGAAGAGAACACCCCTATTGAAAATTTCTGAATTCGCCACTCATTCGCCTCCCGCATTTTGTCCAACAAAACTTGGATGCCCCAAGCTCCTCCGACGAAATTGAACATGGGCTCAACCCGACTCTGTTTCATGTAGTTCTTCGCCATTAGCGCCGAACTCCGGAAAGCGCTTCTTCATATTAAGAGGGATAACCCTATCAATCCTGCCGTGAAACAGAGAGTGGATATTCGCTTGAACCTTATGGTTCTTTTTATTTTCCATCCGAAGGAGTGAAAATGAGGAGGTTACCTTCAATTCATGCTTTGTAGTTCACAAATGAAAGTTTCTCTGGCAAGGTTTCAGAAGTTGTTGCATCAACCGGGAAGAAGATGCTGGAAGTAGTCTTGGTAATGGGCTTCACGGTGTGTTTGGTCCATTTTGAATAACCGAGAAGCCTAATTGAAAAAGCCCATATGTGATATGGCCCTTGGTTGCAGTATACATGGCCCTAAAACCACCGGTTACCCTTACCCCTCTCGACAATCGTCCAAGAAATTGTTAAGGCCTCCGCTTTGTTCGTAATACCCAACCAATTGTTCAAGCCTTCTTCGCACATCTGATGCTTCAAATTCACAATACCGATGGTGTAAGGAATGCTGATCATTCCTTGTTCATAAAAAAGAAAGAAAAGGAAAGTACTGTTCTCCTAGTGTACTCAGTTTATTTCTCTAAATTCACAAGTAAAATTATTATATTAGTAAGCAAGTCGAGCGAGTTTTCGCTAATACTAATCAAAGACGAAAAGCTAAGGTCAGAATTCGCATAGAGATGGTAGGCGCTTATCTATCGTGGAGCTCGGTAGTCTTAGATAGGCTAACGGTAAGCTTTCGCGACAGTGAAGGTTTAAGAGTTGCAGATCTCAGGTTCGAATCTAAGCGAGACTCGTTGGTAACGCTGCTGGAGGCGAAGCCCCATTGACGTCGAATTAAACCTAGTTTTGAGACTAGGTATTACATCCACGTTCAGTACACATTCTGGACAGCTCTCTATAATAATAATTAAGAGACCATATTTTTCCTTTGAAGAGATATTGACATGATAATTTACCGCAATACATTGTCAAAATCTAGATCCTTTTAGTTTGGTTTTAACCCTAATAATTCGACCATCCCTTATGACAAGAATTCGTATAGAGAGCTTGTTATTAATGATTAACTATTTAGTTATAGATTAATTGAACAAGAAGTTGAAATGTTAGTGTTTACACCAAAATAATTTTTATTAATTATCACATGTATGAATAGCTTGGACACTTTAAATAGTTGGTCCATGTGTACATAGATGGTCCAATTATCAAGTCGGTTCGTAGGTTTGATGGATGGTAGTATCCAACATCATGGATACCATCCAAATCCTATTATGGATGGTAGTGTCCAACATCATGGATACCATCCAAATTCAATAATAGATGGTAGTGTCCAATATCATAGATACATTCCAAATCCTATAATGGATGATAGTGTCCAACATCATGGATACCATCCAAATCCAATAATGGATGGTAGTGTCCAGCATCATGGATATCATCTAAATCCAATAATGGATGGTAGTGTTCAATATCATGGATACCATCCAAATCTTATAATTGGTGGTAGTGTCCAGGATCATGGATACCATCCACCCCACAAAGATGATGTCATCCCGTATCATTGACCTATCCAAACTATCAAATGGATGGTGTCATCCATGCTAGGGTATGGTGACCATTTAATCCGGTTACCATCCTTGAATTGTTGTCTTAGTTAACATGGATGCCATCCAAGCTGTTTGTTGTATGGTGACCATCCAATTGGTCATAGGGTTGATTTTCTAGTGACATGATGACGTGTCGAAGGTGGTTACTAGAAGCAACAGCTGACTTGAAAAGGACGCTCGGAGGAGTTAGTGGATGCTACATGGAGCTGATTTCGAGGAAGAGAGAGAGAAGGCGATTAGAGGACAAGACACAACAGAACTTGCAGCAAGACTTTGGAGGAAAGAGAGACAAATCAAATCACAAACAATCTCATCAAAATTTATCTTTTCTCTCTAGAATAGTAACCGTAGCAGTAGCACGAGGGACCCTCCAATGAGGCTTCTCTGTTAGTTGTAGTCAGTAGTTGCGGAGCTCTCAAGGAATCTCCATATGAGTAGAGGTAAAAGTAGCCAAATTCTTTGATGTATGCATCGAACACCCTCGTTCGAACAGTGTTTGAAGAGGTGTGATTATGCGAAATTCCACCCAAAACAAATTGACACACCTGGTGGGACAACGTGTTTTCGATATGGCTCCGCGACGAAGGATTCAGGATGGTGATCCTCCACAAGGTTTTGTGGAGGAGGGGCAGTTGGTTAACGTTGAAGTTGACCAAGCAGGAGGAAACAATGCTGGAGCTGAGGCGCCAAACATGGTGCCTAATGCAGATCGAAGAGAGGCAGCAGCATCAGCCAAATGGTGGAGGAGACTCGCCAACTGGTGGTTGGGATGAACAGAAACTACCAGCAGGTAACTCTTCATCTTGCTTCTTTGGATGAGCGCATTGATGGTTTGAGTTCACGCAATGATAGACGATTGGCTCAATTATTTGAGTTGGTAAACAAAAATATGAATGATTTGTGTGAGTGTTGTCTTCAGATGGTCGAAACTTTCTAAATCTTGAAAGTGAAAATGCTTATCTACCACCCAACAGTGTTAGTTGAGGTGAGCAGCCACGCCCGGTGAACCCTACACCACCGGTGGAAACCACCGTACCAACACCTCAAAGGATGAACGTTGGCGAGAGTCACACCACTTCATCTCAGATCCATGTTGAGCAACCACCACCTGTGCAAGGTGTTGCTCGACAAAACATTCCAGAAGCCAGACCATACATGGCTCCTGTTAATGTTGGGATGGGTTTGGGTTCAAACAATGTTGACTCAATACCACCATGTGCGTACCCACCCATGAAAAATCCCGAATCGGATCCCAAATTGACGGGTTAGTGCAGTTTTTCAATTCTATCTTTTTTTTCTTATTATTCTTGCCTTATCAGCAAATCCCGTCTCCTGCGAACATGCAAGACGTGGATCCTGGGGGATTCTGTAACACCCCATCATAAAACTCATGGGTTGAACCAATGGTTCACCCGCATAGCGGAATCTCTATTGGGGTTACACAAAAAAAAACTCGACTATTTACCACTAGTAATATATATACCTACATTATTTTGATCCAAAATCCCAACACTCAATTTTCAAATTACTCATCATATTCCAAACATCAACTCGATCTAGTTCATTTAATTTAGGTAAACCAAATCAGAGTGTCATTCACTACTATGCTCATTACGGTACTATCTACTATGCAATACCCAAATCATCGACTCATACAACATAAATGAGTGTTATTTCAAAATCTGGGAAAACTTAAAAATCAATCCTCCATCGATCATTGTGCAGTGCCAGAGTTTCTCTCAAATCATTCGAACCTGTAAGAAACTGAACAGAAGTGGGTCAGCAACTAAGCTGTGTGCGTGGATCTTTCCCACGACCTAGTTTTGGGACCGCAATCAGCTAATCAAGCAGTCGTAAACCATCATAATTTAGTACTCTAGATGCCATCTTAATTCATCATATATAAATTACCGATCAAATTATCGAATCCACCAACTCATCATCACCAAATCAATTTATCCAAATAAGATAATCACATAATTTCACGAACACATAATCAATGCATGATATGAAAATTCCGGTTAATTATTAATGGCGCCAAGGTCACCATACACTTACCCTCGCTCGAGCAAATCATCATTCGTGGTGCTCATGCAACCACAACACTCAATCCGTGGTGCTCATGCAACCACAACACTCAATCCGTGGTTTTTAACCACAACACTCATCCGTGGTGCTCATGCAACCACAACACTCAATCGCATAAGCGAGCTAAATCTACCCACTCTCAAGGGGTGAGGGTAAATGCAGGCCCTTTCTATATCTACGTGAATTAATATGATCACGAATCAAACCATTTTCATTTTTCTCATCCATCACAATCAATCCGGAATCAATGTAATCTTACGGATTAACCAGTTCATATATATATTTTCCGTCGATTATCAACTCGACGTTTCAAAAAAATCAACTATTTCATCATCCAATACCAAATCACATAAATCATCTCATTCTCCCGTAAAGCTACTCAGCAGTACCATATCACCGTTCCTCATCCAAAATTCATCAACAATATCACGAAATAGCGCCAACGCAAATTATTATAAATAACCCGGTCGCGGTTAAAAATGTCCTTAACTCAAAATTCACTTTCCTTCATTAAAATCCTCACACAATTCATGTAAATGAATTTATTGACACAAAAATCCATTAAACCTAGTTCTGGTCATAAAAATCAATTTAGACAATAAAGTATCAAAAATCTCGTATTAACCATTATTTTACGGTAACTTAAATTCCCACAAAACGGTAAATCCAAAAATCTCCCAAAATTACAAGAACCTTCATTTATCATCCTAAAACAGGTCTGTCCAGTTTTTATATTTTTCAACAACTCAAAACCATGAAAATAATATTACACTCGGTATTTATCGCAAATCTCGTATTAAGCTCATTTTTACCGTTTTAAGGATAAAAATTCCACCAACTGTCTAATTTACCATTTTCAGACCACAAACCATTTAACAATCCATACTGACCATTTTGAAGTGATCCAAATCTTAAAGATAAATAGAACACGTTTTTACCGAGCTTTCGGTAAAATTGACCGTTATGCAGTTTTTAATCCGGAAACCATTTTCAAGTGAAATCTTCTGCTCAATCTGCCCCAACCTCATTTTAGACAAACAAAAATCACTTAGATCAGTTTTAGACTCAATAAACCCAACTATTCGTTTTTACGGGGAAACTTGTCAAATATCGATATTTACTCCGTAAAATCCGTAACAATCAAGAATAATCACCAAATCATCATATCAACAAATAAGTCATCACCCAAAGTAATCCATCCATCCAAATATGCAAATCAAGCATAAATAATCGATGCAATAATTAAGGTCCTCTTAATCCCCACACACCTTAATTTAGCCGATTCCAAGTCGGGAATTAAGTTCTAAAATTCCAGAGATAGACTCTATAAAATTCTCCTCGTTCCCACGGTCGTGTAGGCGCAAACGGTTCGTCGTTTGGACGTCAAACGAAGAAACTGCGAGCCGATTAAGATTAGTATGGAAAATTACCGAATAGTACCTTATATTTTCGAACTGTCAGACACAGCTCTGGAACTTAAAATCGTACAATTTTATAAACAAACTTTCGAACCTCGTTTCTCCCTCGTTTGAGCTCGGAATTCGATTCCGTCGACTCCGTGATGATCCTGGAGACGAGCTCTACGCATCGGTACTAAGTTTCGGAATTATCGTCGCAGTTGACGATGCCGACGCCGACGTCGGGATTTATGACGGCTCTCCGACGAACCTCTTACAAGCGTCGAAACTAGTTTCTGACCCCATAGATAGATTTCTATGGGTCCTATTACCTAAACCCGACTCACAAAACATTTTTCCATCTTCCTTTTCCTCCACATCCCTCGTCTCTCTCTCGGTAGAATACTTGACGAGTGGAGGAAGAAGAGTGCTTCTTCTATTCCCTTCTGTCCAGGGCGTCCCTCTCACTTCCCTTAAATTGCCCAGCAGCAGAGTTAACTCCTAAGGGCCGCCTTCTAATCTGCAGGTTCGTTGACGAGGAAGGGGGTTCAAGTTCCGAAATCGGCTGCCGCTTGAAGAATACACATCCGCAGTCCAACACCGCCTAGAAACGTTGAGGCTCCTTCCTCCACATGGGAACGACGACGTACAAGGTTAATGACGTTTGTTCTTATATCACATGGACGCAGTTATGGTTTATTGGAAAACCGGATGAGTTTTAGTGCACGAAACTGAGTATAGTCTAGCGGCTAAGTTGTTGGTTTATTAGCTAATTAGCACCAGGTTCATGTTTCAAATCTTGCTGCTGTCATTTTTTTCACATTTATTTTGTTTACAAGAATCACTTATAATAATCAATTACTATTATTGTTCCCCGTGACATCTTTCCCCGTCAATGATGCAAATTCCACGAAATTGAATCTCAGTTGTAAATTTGTCTAGGAAATCTATTTTTACATTTTAAATTTATTATATTTTATTTCGTTTGATCCGGGATGTTACAACTCTCCCCCTCTTAATAGGATTTCGTCCCCGAAATCATCCTAAAACTCATTCATGATGACTAAGGTAATCACAAAATTACCGCCTCCAAAATTTCGTACTAACATCTACAGGACTTCATCAGAGTCAACTTGTGTAATTGAGTTTGTCGTTCCCAGGTTTGTCTCCCCTTGGCTCACAATTTATAATTTTCCATTCAACCCCAATAAGTCGTATCATCGGATTTCTAGGTTCAATCGTCATTATAACACGCAGTGAGCTGGGTTTACGGATACTAAAAGGGAACGCGGCCGGAGTGGTACGGCTCTTTGCCCTCGCCCGGGACGTTGCGGGCTCGAGTTCCACCGACGCCAGATTTCGAACCCTAACAATCTTTTTGCTTCTCTTTATATCCATGGTTCCCTAACTTGCAATCTCCCCCTCTTTTGGCTTTCTCCGGGGAATTCAATCCCCAAGATTTATTCTACTCATTGGGGGTACATCATTCAATGATTACTCGTAGATCAAAATGATCGTCCTTTCCCAGTTGGATATCCTTTTAAAGACACCCTTCCTAGGCAACTCTCCGTGTTAGTGTACCATTTGTTCAACCAACTTATCCGTTGGTTTAGGTATCTAACTCCTTGAGATCATCATGATTCCTTTTTCTTCATCAATCGCCATGGCTTCCCTCTATATGATCTTCCTAACGGGATAAACTTTTAGATTAAAACATTATGGGGAAAGTATTATCCTTGAGAGGTTCTCGTATTCACTTTTCCACGGCTAACCTTCACCATTGATGACCTTGACTTCCGGTCAACTTTAGGGTAGCAAGTTCAGCATTTGGGCGTTCATCCTTCATGCTCGTTCTTTAAGCAAGACGCCACATTTCCAGTGGTCGATCATCACTTACCACCTTTCACTTCGTACTAGGTGAAGGCATTCTCGTCAGGCATTCTCGTCACAACGTGACATTAGTTATCCTCGTACTCATTTCTCATATAAGAAATAAAGTCTCGAGGTGGGGCTCATAGCATCCTACATTCTCATTGACGATCACTATTCCCACATCCTTTTTGTCCCCCATCTTAGGACATCATATTCATGTGGGGGTTTCTTACTTTATCTAGTCGTGTTAAAATGGAATCAGGATTCAATTATTCCATCCGCAATCCCCTTAGGGTCTACAGATGTTTTGTTCAACTCTGATAACTCTTACTTCCTTAATCCTGGAAGTTCCATCTTGTTACACGAGATGAGGCACTTTTGCACTGATTGATCGATTTAAGGAGGAAAATATTTCACTTTTCGAAATGTGTTTCCAAAAGCTCTTTCAAATCGTCATTTTTCAAAGATTGTCTTCAAAACAATTGAAATTCTTTTGACCAAATGCAACTAACTTTACTTTGACTATGCAACACATATACACCTTTGGTCTCAAATCCTGATAAGTTTAGTGCAAGTACAGATATGGAGTACTCCCTACTCTTTTGAGGGTGATCAATCCTCAAGAGCGAAAGTAACATACCCATAATGCAGAAAACAAACCAGCTCTGATACCACCTGTAACACCCCACCATAAAACTCATGGGTTGAACCAATGGTTCACCCGCATAGCGGAATCTCTATTGGGGTTACACAAAAAAAAACTCGACTATTTACCACTAGTAATATATATACCTACATTATTTTGATCCAAAATCCCAACACTCAATTTTCAAATTACTCATCATATTCCAAACATCAACTCGATCTAGTTCATTTAATTTAGGTAAACCAAATCAGAGTGTCATTCACTACTATGCTCATTACGGTACTATCTACTATGCAATACCCAAATCATCGACTCATAAAACATAAATGAGAGTTATTTCAAAATCTGGGAAAACTTCAAAATCAATCCTCCATCGATCATTGTGCAGTGCCAGAGTTTCTCTCAAACCATTCGAACCTGTAAGAAACTGAACAGAAGTGGGTCAGCAACTAAGCTGTGTGCGTGGATCTTTCCCACGACCTAGTTTTGGGACCGCAATCAGCTAATCAAGCAGTCGTAAACCATCATAATTTAGTACTCTAGATGCCATCTTAATTCATCATATATAAATTACCGATCAAATTATCGAATCCACCAACTCATCATCACCAAATCAATTTATCCAAATAAGATAATCACATAATTTCACGAACACATAATCAATGCATGATATGAAAATTCCGGTTAATTATTAATGGCGCCAAGGTCACCATACACTTACCCTCGCTCGAGCAAATCATCATTCGTGGTGCTCATGCAACCACAACACTCAATCCGTGGTGCTCATGCAACCACAACACTCAATCCGTGGTTTTTAACCACAACACTCATCCGTGGTGCTCATGCAACCACAACACTCAATCGCATAAGCGAGCTAAATCTACCCACTCTCAAGGGGTGAGGGTAAATGCAGGCCCTTTCTATATCTACGTGAATTAATATGATCACGAATCAAACCATTTTCATTTTTCTCATCCATCACAATCAATCCGGAATCAATGTAATCTTACGGATTAACCAGTTCATATATATATTTTCCGTCGATTATCAACTCGACGTTTCAAAAAAATCAACTATTTCATCATCCAATACCAAATCACATAAATCATCTCATTCTCCCGTAAAGCTACTCAGCAGTACCATATCACCGTTCCTCATCCAAAATTCATCAACAATATCACGAAATAGCGCCAACGCAAATTATTATAAATAACCCGGTCGCGGTTAAAAATGTCCTTAACTCAAAATTCACTTTCCTTCATTAAAATCCTCACACAATTCATGTAAATGAATTTATTGACACAAAAATCCATTAAACCTAGTTCTGGTCATAAAAATCAATTTAGACAATAAAGTATCAAAAATCTCGTATTAACCATTATTTTACGGTAACTTAAATTCCCACAAAACGGTAAATCCAAAAATCTCCCAAAATTACAAGAACCTTCATTTATCATCCTAAAACAGGTCTGTCCAGTTTTTATATTTTTCAACAACTCAAAACCATGAAAATAATATTACACTCGGTATTTATCGCAAATCTCGTATTAAGCTCATTTTTACCGTTTTAAGGATAAAAATTCCACCAACTGTCTAATTTACCATTTTCAGACCACAAACCATTTAACAATCCATACTGACCATTTTGAAGTGATCCAAATCTTAAAGATAAATAGAACACGTTTTTACCGAGCTTTCGGTAAAATTGACCGTTATGCAGTTTTTAATCCGGAAACCATTTTCAAGTGAAATCTTCTGCTCAATCTGCCCCAACCTCATTTTAGACAAACAAAAATCACTTAGATCAGTTTTAGACTCAATAAACCCAACTATTCGTTTTTACGGGGAAACTTGTCAAATATCGATATTTACTCCGTAAAATCCGTAACAATCAAGAATAATCACCAAATCATCATATCAACAAATAAGTCATCACCCAAAGTAATCCATCCATCCAAATATGCAAATCAAGCATAAATAATCGATGCAATAATTAAGGTCCTCTTAATCCCCACACACCTTAATTTAGCCGATTCCAAGTCGGGAATTAAGTTCTAAAATTCCAGAGATAGACTCTATAAAATTCTCCTCGTTCCCACGGTCGTGTAGGCGCAAACGGTTCGTCGTTTGGACGTCAAACGAAGAAACTGCGAGCCGATTAAGATTAGTATGGAAAATTACCGAATAGTACCTTATATTTTCGAACTGTCAGACACAGCTCTGGAACTTAAAATCGTACAATTTTATAAACAAACTTTCGAACCTCGTTTCTCCCTCGTTTGAGCTCGGAATTCGATTCCGTCGACTCCGTGATGATCCTGGAGACGAGCTCTACGCATCGGTACTAAGTTTCGGAATTATCGTCGCAGTTGACGATGCCGACGCCGACGTCGGGATTTATGACGGCTCTCCGACGAACCTCTTACAAGCGTCGAAACTAGTTTCTGACCCCATAGATAGATTTCTATGGGTCCTATTACCTAAACCCGACTCACAAAACATTTTTCCATCTTCCTTTTCCTCCACATCCCTCGTCTCTCTCTCGGTAGAATACTTGACGAGTGGAGGAAGAAGAGTGCTTCTTCTATTCCCTTCTGTCCAGGGCGTCCCTCTCACTTCCCTTAAATTGCCCAGCAGCAGAGTTAACTCCTAAGGGCCGCCTTCTAATCTGCAGGTTCGTTGACGAGGAAGGGGGTTCAAGTTCCGAAATCGGCTGCCGCTTGAAGAA